TTGTTCTTTTTATGTGGTCTAGCCAGATTTGCAGAACAAACAGGAGAAGTTATTTACTCTAATTTAAAACCAACTTGGGCAAGATACAAAAGAAATGTAATTTACAAAGACCACGGAGAAAACTTGGATAAGGCAGTTTCAGACTTCTCATCAAGACAAAGATTGTAACTTGCAGTTTAAAAAATTAATTAACTTTATAAATACTATGCAGTAACTAAAGTGTTTAGCATTATATAGTTTTCTATAAAATTTGTCTTCTGCCTACAAATCACCGAGCAGCCGGATTTAGGTTCACTAAAATCAATGTTCGAAAAAAAAAAGATAAAAGATGTATAAATATAGCATTAAGTTATTAAAAAAATCAAGTATATTTTGGTGAATAAAGTCATCATATATTATCATTATTATTCGGGGAAGATAGAGGAGAGAGGGATGTAAACAAAAAATTTATATATATTTCTATCTTTTATGCTAGATTTATATTTTATATAAAAAATTTGGCAAGTGGAGGGTAAAGGCCTCTCTGCCCTCTTTTTAGTAATATTTTTAATAGGATTTTGGATCCCCCAGTCTAAAAATGCACCCTTGGATTTTTAAAATCGTTTAATTTTTAATATTCTAATAAATATCAATTTGTTGGCATATTTTTTTTTTGTTTAAGTTGGATAAAGTTCAACCTGAGGGTCGATTTATGACACAGTGGTAGGCATGGATTTGTAAATTTTTTTTTCTCAGCCAGTGCCTTTTCTTCTTCTTTTTCTTTGAGTCGCTAAGCAGCATTAATAAGTCGTTGTTTTCTTTCAATTTTTCTTTTTCCTGTTAGATTTTTTCTTGGTAATAATTATCTTCTTAATGTCATTTTGTTCTAGTTGATTAGCAATCAACTAGAAAAAAAGCAGAAGCATCAAAGTCTGAAAAACTAATTTCTTGAACAATTGATGATTGGAATTCCTAAGAAAACAATATATGATACTATTGAAACGCAAGTTAGTAAATTTTTTTGCCTCATTCAGAATTTTAAATAACATTTACATAAAATATTAGTCATAGTTGCAAGCTAAAGTTCAAATAATAAATAATTTTTATTGTAAAGTAATACTAGCAAAAACACAATAGAACAATACAAACTGAAGAACAATTGTTTTCAGTAACTTCTGTTCTTTTGCTAATGTTTGAATTTGATGTTCAGGTTTATTTTTGGACACATTGTTAAAAACTAAACTTTCCAGTGCATACCACAATGTCACAATGCTGTTTTCAAAAGCAAGATCAAAGCCGTTTTTGAACAGATAATTATAGCTTGTCAACTGAGTATGATTCATTTCAATTTCCATTATTTGTAAGCATTGTGATGTAGTCGGAGTCGCGACAATAATAAAAAGCCAACTTTTTTCTGCTTTCTCGTATAAATTCAGATTTTAATTCTCATTTATGTCAATCAATGATTCACTGATACCATTGTGCAAAACGTTTTCAACGCTTTGATGATTTTCTGCGATAATAATCCTTTAGTGGCTTGAATAAGGTGTAGTCGTATGGTTAAAACCAGTTTAATGTTTGTGAAAGCATTTTAACTATATGTATCTGGATAAAAATATCAATTAGCTTAATAATGTTATAAGACTTGTGCCCGTCCAGAAACATTAACTGATGACGTTGGTGACCAATGTTTTCTAAGATGTCTTGGTAAACCATAGTTTTGCTAGGCCCTGTTTAGTATAACCACTATCAGACCAGCTTCAATTGTGATAAAAACGATCGAGTCATAGTTGATAAAATTGAGTGAATTTTACCATCTATTATGGTCGAGTGATAAAAACATTGTCTTATAGTTGATAAAGTTGATTGAATTTTACCATCTATCATGGTCAGCTCAATGAAACATTTTCTAGCTATTTCTTTCCCTGCAAAAATAATGTTAATAGTATCACATTTCTCAATTTCGAAATCGATTGTTTTTCTCTCTTTTTCCACAACATTCTTGGTTTCCATTTGAAACGAAAATTTAACTGGTCAACAATATGCAATCGATGATGGCTTTTCGTTTCTTCACACTACTACGTTTTTATTATTATAAAACCCACTCAGTTCTAATGGTACTATGCAAGTAATAAATAAACACTCTTCATTCTTTAGATTTCTTTCAATGTTTTCATTATGGCTAACCTGCTTGTAAACCCTTTGCCCTGTAGCACCATCAAACCCAGCCTTGCATCTAAATGTTAGTTTAGTTATTTGCTTTAACGTTGTGATTAGCACAGGAGCCTGTACGTCACACATTCTTTCAATAGTGTGCATCACAAGTTCTTTTAAGTGGTATGTTTACTATTTACTCATTTTACATACATGTTTTTGGGGTAGCATTTAACTTTTGAAAATTGTAAATCATTATATAAAGGATATATGTGGCAGCCATTTTCTTCAGTGCCATTTCGTAAAAGCTGGTATGTTGATTTTGATATGCCACCATTAAAAATCATTGCTAGACCTTCATCCGGTGAATAATTCTAAGGAGTTTCAACGGGTTTGTCATCTGAAATTTCTGCAATTTTTTTAGCAGTCTCACACTTAAACTCATTCCTAAGTTTAAATTTTGCTGCATGAAGTAATTCAGCGCCAGATAAACTGTTAATAACATTGTTAAGCTTTTTTTTTTTGTTCTGTTGAATGAGTTTTCAAAAGAGCAGCAGAGTTTTCCAACTTCATTAACTGTAGGATTTAGCGTAATGTACGTAAACTGAAAATCTTGAACTAGCCAATTTTCATTGTTTTTCTCAAAATTAATAATATCATTGTTTGCAGCTATTTACTTTTTACGGTAGGGGAGACCGGGGCTAGTTGGCCGCAGGGGTAAGTTGACGAATTGCGTTTATCTTTAAAGCCTTTCATCAGAAAGTGATAAAAATTACACAGAATCTTCCTAATTGACTGTTTCATCATTCAATGTAGTATTGTCAGGATTCGCGCATGCGCATGGGAGATATTAAGATTTAAGTGTTTTTTGGACAAAAACGTAACTTTTGAAACATCGCTTCCTTTTTACTTTACAAAGAAAATAGTTAGTCAAATGGAAAAAAAATTATTGTAAAAGTTCTAGCCACAATTGGTTTACTATATTCAGTTTGACTTTTTTTAAAAGTTGCCGTTTTTCAGGATCTATAGACTGTTTATTGAAAAAAAAGCCTTCGGGGTAAGTTGACAAAATTTTTACGGGGTAAGTTGGCTCATAGCATTTACTATGGAGAAAAATATTTATTTTTATAAAAATAATTTTTTTAATTTTTTTAATTTTTAACAATATTGAAAAAATTTATTCTTACAAAAAAATTATAAAAATTTTTTTTTTAGGTTTTTTGTAACAGGTAAAAAGAGGGCTGCTGTTTTGGCTGTTATACGTACTAATATTTAGCACAAGCTAAAAATAATATCAAATTATTAGCTTAAATTGTTGCCAAAATTAATAGGTAAAAAATTTCTATTAATTTTGCACTTAATAGTACATTAATAATCACGTTTATAGTTTGCGTCAACTTACCCCGTGGTGGGGTAAGTTGGCGCAATTTTTTTTTTTTTTTGAGGGCCCCGTAAGGCCCCAAGAATTTTTTTTTGTAAATCCATGAAACTTTTATAAGTTACCCAAGTTCATACGCTTTGAGACTACACTTTAATATTTTCAAAAAAGTGTGCTATTAGGGCTACAGAGCTCATAGAGTAAAAACCGAGCCAACTAGCCCCGGTCTCCCCTATACTTTTTTAAAGTTTTTACACTCACAACCTTTTAATTTAATATCTGCTCAAATTGGGAGAGTTAACACTGATAAAAAAAAAAAGATTTATTATTAAGAACTAGTTTGTTTTGTCATATAATTGTGTGAATCTTGCCAATTTTCATGTTATAACTAAAATAAAACACAAAAAATGTATTGCTTAAACAGTACAATGTGCATAAATATTGGTGTGCATATTTTTGTTTGAGGGAATAAAAAACATGACGTTTTAAATAAGTATTTTAATTTCATGCGAATAATACGACTTTAAACTTGTACTTTTAAAATGCCAAACAATTCATATAATTCTAATGGGTTATAGACCTTTTTGCATTTACTAGCTCAAGTACTTGATGTAGGTTCTCGTAGGTTCCCTAACTTATCGGACACTTTTTGTACAAAATAAAAGTATCAAACTTACCTCGTTATTATAAAGCCAGTTTATAAATGTGTTATAAATGTTGATCTTTCCTTCATATTATTTTCGTAAAGTTATTTTATTAAATAGTTAATAAAATAACTTTACAAAATTGAATAGGTAGGGCAACAACATATTGATTCTGAGGGAAAGATTGAATTAATTTGGTAGGTTGATCAGATAATAACTTTATACATATTCTACAATTTCAAACAATTTTAAATATTATTTCATTCAGAGAATAAACAGCGGAGAAAAAAAATTAAATTATAATCTAAAATGGATTTACATTTTCCGGTTGTCAAATTAAATAGCAAAATAATTACCGAAAACAAATAAATTTTCTTTAAAAGATACTTCTTTATTTACGATTCTTTTGAGGTCAAAAGATATTTTGATGTTGATAAGGTTGGTTTGCTGCTCTAACTGAATGTCTTTTTGATGTTGCAGCATCCCAGTAAGCACAGAACGTTTTTAAAACGTTTAAAAAACCTATTAAAACAGTTTTTAACGTTTTCTAAACGTTTTAAAAACGATCTGTGCTTACTAGGATGTGAGTTACGTAACATATAAGCAAATAAAGATGGTGGGCGACATTGAGTGATTGGCGAATTTATGTAAAGTTACCCTAAGCCATTAATTTCAAACTAAAAAGCTTGTCGCACACCAGTTTACTCAATAAATTTCAGTAAAATTTTTATTTTCTAAAAATGTTATAATAAATTTATTGAAATTTATACTAATGATATTTTGCTATAAGAATTGTTTAGAACACCAAAGTAAAATTTATTAAAAAAAAATTAAAATAAGCTCACCAATAGTGCAATAATCCCATTTAGTTTTTAGCGGTGAAGAACTTAGTTTGTGCCCACAGAAACAACCAGAATCGTAAGAAAAAAACATAGTATCAATATCAGAGCGATTTGCACATGTTACAACACAA